AATTAGCTCTTTCAGACATGGGGGAAGCTTCTGGCAGCTTCTCACAGAAGCAACCCCTGTATTGCTATCAAAACCTTGCAAGGTTTGTTTGGTACTAAATGTAGCTTGCTTGCAGGGTACAAAACGTACTGTCTCACTCAAAAAAATGCCTTGTTCAAAGTTTCATGGCTTTTGCTTTCTCCCTTTTCTAAGAAGTATTGATACTATAAAGATTTGTATACTTTAGTCAAAGTAAAATCAAAGAGCCTAATAGTTCAGAAAAAAACAGGACCAGGATAGAGTATTCAGCTAACAGCTTGAAATAACAAACAACACTGGGGTAAGTTCAGAACAGATTTACCGTATCCTACTACAGATCACACTGTGCTAAGTGTAATTTCTCTGTGACAAGGAAGTTCTGTAAAAAACACCAAGAAGAAACAGCTATTATACCTGAACTAGAGATCTAGATCAAGATCACACTGTAAACACACCCTGGTGTGCTGCAAATTCTCCACATTTGCTGACCAAATACTGGTTTTCTCAAGTTTATACATTCTGATTCAGATGCCACAGTAATGACATAAGCAGCCCTAGAAATGCTCAACAGGCCAAGTCTGTTTTAATTACTATTACAGATTAGGTGTCTAACTTCCAGTCTTTCCTTTCACATCCTTTTATTCCAATGTCAAAGAAAATACATAGTGAGGCATTTATGTTTGTATATACTCTCATCTTGACTCTATGTCCAGCCTAATAAATTAATTAGTGAGACAAGTTGTATGAATGTTGTCTCCATGTCTCTTTTGTTAAAGCTCATTATTTCCTTTTCTTCCTCACTTAACTTTTCCATGTTAGAACATGTTCAACATTTTTTAAGTTTTCAGCCACTAACAAAATCATGAGCTGGACCCATACACGAGTGCTGACAGGAGCAGCACTAGCTCCCCATCCACCCATCCTTCCTGAATGGGGAAATCAGGTTAACTGATAGTCCACATGCTCCCGGTGGCCAGCACAGGGCAAGGAGGGTGGAAGAAAGCCAGCATGAGGCTTCGTAAGCAGAAGGAATTAATACATGCAAATGTAAGCACATTTCAAGTTTGTGAAATGACTTACAAGAGCAATCTTTTTCAGAAGCGAGGAAGTGGAAGAGAGGAAGAGGAAAGGGGTGTGTGAGCTTTACTAAGGAGAAAAAAAAGAAATCCCCGTGAGAGCAGAATGGCAGATAAGTGCCTATAATCTAAGTTCCAGCCCAAATAAAACTTCTTATTTCCTTTGCCATGAACCAGGCTCAGCTGCTTTTCTCACAGAGAAAAAAAGGTGTTTGTGGATTATGCCTCAGGCCCATTTTCAGCAAAGAAAGATCTACCTGTCTAAAGAACAAAGATGATGAACTCAAGGGTAAACAATGAATCTGTTACCTGCTCTTATAGTCTAATCACTCAGCTACAGCAATCTAGGCAGTGGTACAGCATCTAGGCTTTGGTATAGCATCTACATTGCTGGATGCAAAGTTGAGTAACAGCAAGAAAATTGTTCAAAAAGTTAGGCAACTTGTATTCTAGCTATTCTTTTCCCTGGAAATATTGGAAAATGTCCCAGCTCAATCCAGTCATAAGCAGGAGGCTGGGCTAGATGGTCTCCCAACCTGAATGGTCCTATTATTTTTGTGAATTATCTTTCTGCAAGCCTGAATAGCCTTTAAAGTTACCTACAAAAAGCAGAAACACCTATAATTCATTAGAGAACCAGCACTTCATAGAGCTGCAGCTGTGTCTGCACAAGTTGTACTTCCCAAGCTAGCAAATGTACCACTGTAATGAGTGATGCTGCTTACACTGTGCCATCTCTGCATCCATTTTTTTCACTATCTATGAAGCATGATCTGCCTCATTTCAAACTGGTTAAATTACAGGTATCATTCCACAGAATTCAACTGAAGTAGCACAAAGTTGCATGTTGATTGAAATTATTTACTTTGTTAAGTTTAATGCGCTGGTGGATTATTTTTATAAAATGGTGGTAGAGGAAACCACTCTAATCACAAACGGGGATGTGTATATAAAAGCTAGTTTAACCAAATAAACAATTTACAATGTATCATTAAACATCAATTTATGTGTATAAAAGGCTGTGGCTTGATCCTCCTCTGGGATTCTAACATCCTCCTTTATTAACCTTTTTAACCAGACATGGCAAGTCACTGAAGTAAGCAACACACACTTTAAAAATAATCCCCATTTATTTCAGAAACAGTACATGAAAGAAATACTTGACTTGTGCATCCACAGAATGCCTAAACAGTTTGATAAGCCAATAGTATTGTGCAACCAAGCCGCAACACCCATAAGTTTGTAAGTGCCTTAGAAAGATAACAGAACATTGTTGTTCCCATTTTACAGCTGAAACATAAAACTCAGACAATTTGTCTGAAGTCACACCGGAAATTTGTGTCACAAATGGGGGAAAGGACCCATGACTCCTGACTCTCAACCCCAATCTTAAGCCACAGATGACTTGACCATGTCTAAATTTATAAATAAAAACTGAGACCAAAAAATTACTTGGTTCTTTCAAATGTGAAACAAAGAATTCTCATGGGTATGAGACATGGTCATTATTGTAGCAATTTGTGGATCAGTAAGACAAGATATCCTGAAGTCACTTGTAGGAAGAGGATCCTTAGTACCAGCCAGATGGGTAGAACAAGGACAGTGGCAAGGAGCAAGCCAGACCCCAGTGTCACTGGAACCACCCAACTTGTAGCAGAGCAACATTCCAGAGAAACCCTCAAAATTCCAAGAGGCATTTCTGAGTTGCAAGAGTTTCTGCAGAGAATTCTGCACTAATAAATGCTTCTCTCACACTGCAGCTTAGGGAGCCCAGCTGTGAGAAGGCTTCCAGTCCACTTTGCTGGCAGGAGGCCTGGCAGGGCCATGGGAATCAGAGGCTGTTGGAGAAGAGCTGTTCTACAGCTGAACTAGGGCTTGCTCAGGCACCTGTCAGCCTGGGATCATGGTGGCATAAGGCCACAAGACTTGCACAGAAAGATGCTTCTACACAGGGTCTTAATTTCTGCAATATGGTTATTCTTATGATTATCACCAAACTTTGCATGTTTTGCATTTCAACACAGCACCCCATTGCTGAACACTAATTAGAAATAGCACTTGTTATCCATTGTGTGTAGTCACACCGTCTCAAGAGGACTGTGATTTCACAGGAGAGTATTTCTACCAGCAGAGACAGAAATGAAGATCAACCTCTTTTGGCACGGATATCTACTCTATGGGGAAGCGGAGAACATTGTTAGGGCATGTTCATATACTGCCTTTGAAGAATAACAGTGCATTCAATCAACCACCACCGATTTCATAGGCGTGGCACCTGAGCACATGCTTCACAGAAGGAGAAGCAACACGCAGATGAGCTGGGAGGAGAGGGTGATGCTACAGACAACACAAAATCTAAGGACCTTCCTTCTTTTATATCATCCAGTCATACTGACATTGCAGAGTTCTCTGCTAGCTCCCCCACAAGGGAGGTTTGGGACTTCAGGTGAGGCCACATGGCTCATTTGGTGTCACGCTGATTTCTTGGTTTTATCTGTGAGCTGGGCACTTCCAGTTTTCTTGAGGTAGCAGATACAGAAGGCTTCGTTTCATATCTTTAAGAAAAACAAAAGTAAAGGAAAAGGGGATAGGCAGACAAACACACTGGAGTTTCTTAGGAAAGATGTGAACACGTGGTGTAAAACATGTTTCCAAAGTACTCTATTTGGACAGACAGTGCAGAGATTCCAAAAGCAAATTTCACCCTCTCAGAATCACCCTGAAGAACAATTACAGGATTATTGTGGCGAGTTACAAAACAGTTAATCAATGAGGCATCACTTTTCATAAATAAATGGACAGGTACCTGGCTCTCCAGGACCCCAAAGTTTATGCAGAAAGGACGTTTCACTCACTAACACCCTGCAGCAGGTCAAGGCAGAGGAACCACAGGTGCTATGCTCTAACAGTAGAAAGTACTGACAGCAGGGAAGACAGTGCTGCTACAGCGAGGCATTCATAGAATTTATCTGCAGAAAGTAATTATCAGAAGACAAATACACCCACTCTTTCTGTTGTTCTGCCAGTTTTTCTGCCAAGCATTTTACCAGGACAGGGTCTACTTTGGAGTCAAACTTGTTGGCGAACCAGTGCCCATAATTCATAAGCCATCTTAATTCTGCAGCCCCATAGATGCAGACACTGCGAAGATGTGTACCAGTGCAGGGAGGATACAAATGGTCTTCAAGATAATTCCACTTCACCAGACGAGTTTTGCTTTGTAGGTCTGTTATGTCCTGGGCTGACCTTGGAACTTCCCCAGGGACCCCAGGAACGCGTACAAGAGTGGCCCAGAAGTGTTCATCTGGAGAGTATGTATCCCTTGACCACTCAAAAAAATCTTTTGCAAGAGAACTTTCAAGGGTATATTGAATAAATGCTCGGCTTAAAACAAAATAGGCACTGCCTACAAATACCTCAATATTATGAGGTGGTGGATTCTTGGAAACATTGGTTTTTACAGGCATCTGTATGTATTCATAAGGCACTTTTGTAAGTTCGTAATGATAAGTAAATCGTTCTCTTTTGCTGCTGCTTGGCTTCATGGTTTCCAGCATGTTTCTTCCACTAAGTTTCTTCAGTTCAGCAACCAACTCAAAATTTGACCTCAAAGGGAAATCCTGGCCACACAAATTAATAACATACTTCCAGGGGACTGAAGACTCCATCAAATCAGACAAACAATTGAAATCTGCTTGCAGCCGTGAAATATGCGCATAGTCCACTGTCTCCAATTTTGACGCAATGAAAACATTGGGAAAGCATTTAGCTAGATTGTTCATAGCAGATTTGAAACTTTTTGCTGCTTTTCGGTCATAATGGATGCAGTAAATATTTTGATGACTGTACAGTGAATGAATAAGCCGTTCTACCATTACTGCATCTTTATGAACAACCAAAGAATAGGCGACTGGAAAGCTCTCCTCTTCTGGAGAAACAAGTTTTAGGTGGTATTTCCTAAGTGAACGATAGACATCACAAGCACTTGTCATTGCTATGACATCTTCATCAGCTAAATCAATTATCTCTTTTCTTCTTATCTCTAAACTCTTGCCAATTTCATGGGGATCTTGTTCATATATTGATGAACAATTAATTTCATACTGGAACTCATTTCTAAGGTAGGAATATCTGTTTCTAACATACGAGGAAGTGCTCAAGAAGTGCTCAACCAAATAAATGCCCTTAGAGGGTAAAAAGTGTCTTTCGACATGAAGGAGTTTCAGCAGTGCAATCAGCCACCCGGTAACACACAGGATCAGGATATTCCTTCTTGAGGGACATTTGTAGGGACACTTGCGTCTCTTCATTCTGCAAGAAAACAGATGTTCATTTAAATTAGGAACAGAGCATCAGAGACAATTCCAGCTTCTAACAAAGATGCGCACACCAATCAGTCTACAGCATGAACACCACCTTAGCAAGACAGGGCACTGGATATCTACAGCTTCTTCTTCATCACCATCATGTTAATACCACAATAATAGGCAAAGACTTCATTCCCCTGAGTTAGCTGACTAAAGGCAATGAATCAACTTGAATTTCAGATTATTTCCAGCTAAATAAGAGTGTTGGAACAAGACTCCTACTGTTTACTTTCCAAACCTTTTCTCAATTTATTATGAGTCACAAATTGAAGTACAGCAACCCCTGCACTGACAGAAACATTACTGTCCTCTAAATGAGTAGGAAGGATTGTTTATTTTCCTGAGTAACTCCAGGGGATTTGATGGAAGCAGCAAGGGGATCTCTTGCGAGTCTGCAAAGAATGTGTGCTTAGTGATAGGTATTAATGTTTTTTTAAAATGAAGCATTAAACTGAATACTTTAGAACTCAGTCAGAGGATCCTCCAGAGGATCCTCATTGTTTCTAACACTGGGACTGATTCATGAAGATGTGCAAGGGGAAATGGATTTCCTTCCTGTCTTCTTCCATCAGGGTCTGCCAAACCCAAAGTCCTCTCTGTGTCCAGGTTTCTTCTGGAAAATACTGCTAATCTGCCCTGAAGAGTGACAAGGATGAAGACATAGCACTTTTATCCACTGGAATGAGTATATAATGTAACCTTTTGAAGGCAGGAGGAGTACTAGCTAGCAATAGCGCATCTGTCCTGTTCTCTGCCATATGACACAACCTCAGATGTGACCCAAAAGCATGCACACGGCCCCTTTTTATTCAGCAGGGTACTCAATAACATTCCTGTATAGCAACTTAACAGCTGAGGTACTACCCCTATAAAAGCCAAATACAGTGATCCTCTGTCCATATAGCTTTGCTTTAGCAGCTAAGTGTAAGCAGCATTGTTGCTATTCCTGAATTAAAATTAAATTGGAGTCCACATCCAGGTGCTGCATTACACTTAGTTCTACTCAGCTTAAACTCTTAAGACCTGCTTTGTCTCCAAATGAAACAGCTCCTATTCTGTTTTCAGAGGCTGTTACAGAATTCTCAAGAGTGAATAGAATGGTGGGGCCACCAGAGGTGGCTCAGATGTCTGCAGATCTGATATATCCCATGTAAAGTACAACATTAATCCCATGTAAATGTGCAACATTTGCTGCAGAACTAACTTGGTCATCTTTCACATTCCCACTAATGTCAGGTCTTGAAAGGTGTATCTTTGGGTAAAACGCAGCCTGTCAAGGCAGGGATACTTCATTAGTCCATTCTCCCTGACCTTCCCTCTCCCTGTGCATCTTTCTCCTTGATATTTCTCTTCTAGGGGCAATAGAAAATAGCAGGAAATGCCACATTTTTGTTTCACCTGGTGGGGCCTGGTATAGACTGGGGCAGGGAGCATGGCAAACCAGCATGTACCTGTTTGGTAGAAGCCAGAGCCCAGCAGCACTCTGCAGGTTTTACAAACAGCCTCCAGGTATGCTAAAAAAGAAAGAGAAAAAACAGATCTATTTCCCCATGAAGCCAAAAATCCCACCTTCCCCTCTACCCAGCAGGTGCTTACCTTCACTTCTCCAATCTAATTCCAGTTTAACATCTAATCCAGGTCTCTCCTTTATCTACTTCCTTCCTGTACTCATGTTCCAGGAAGAAAAGTCTCTCTGAAAAGCCACTCCTAAGCAAAGCCAGGCTTCCAGCCATGTGATGAAGCCCCGAGGCGGGGATCACAGCTCACTTGTCCTTGGTTTTGGGGTTTTTTTTGGAGAAGACCTGTATGGTGTGATCTCTGTGAAGCCTGCCCTGTGCCTCTGTCCAGTGGTCTCCCTGGTTACCAGGGACAAGCCCTACCACTCCTGGCTGAACAGGGATTGCCTCATCCAGGGAGCAAATCTTCCCTTTCTCTCTCCCTCCTTCCAAAAGGCAAAAAAGAGCCTGGACAAAGAAAAAGGAAAGGGAGAAAAAAAGCGTACCCTCCACTGCTCCAGATAACCCTTTTAACTATGGTAGCCCTGTCGAGCCTCTACCTGGTGGCAAACGTTCTGTTTCTAGCCAAACCAAACACTACAAAAGAACCACTGTGGCCACTGTGTCATGCTTCCCTGCCTGAAACTACCAATCTAGATCACTGGAGCTTGGTGTAGCCTAGAGTTATATAGAGATTTGCAAGAAGTCACGTAGTGTTGGAGGCAGAAAGCACAAAACAAG